AAAATTTTTTTTTTTTTTTTTTTTGTTTGGAAAGGAAGGACAAATATACAGTTTTGCAACTGACACTGTAGACAGTGGGATTGTGCCAGCGTCGTAACCACTGATGCAACGTGTAACTGTCAGTTACAAAATTGGATATTAATCTTAAGAATCATTATTAGACTGTATCAAAAAAAAAAAAGTAACATAAACTTTCAGTTTTAAATGCTGTCTCATCTTTTCCAAAAACTTTCTACCTTTTTTTAGCACACATTTGGTCCAAATATATTTTGACATCTTCTCAGCACAAATCATCTTTTCACGGTTGACTAACATCAGAAAAGCAATGATTTAAAGCTGTTGAAAAGCGAACTCAAAAGATTCCGCCTAAAAACATATATTTTCATAGTTTCAACTGCCAATAAAACTCATCAATAGACTTATTCTAGTAAGTCTGATGAATGTTCTGCATTATTCTTTTTCTCATAAATCTACTTGAAAGCTTATGATAAATTTCCAGATAATATTTTTAAATCAGTAAATTTTTTAGCACTGTCAATAGATTTTGTCTTAATAAAAATGAACAAAATTACTTTCGAAGTATCTAAATTCTTATGATGTTAGCATTGTCTTTCATAGTTAACGTAACTTCAGAAAGTCTTTTTTGAAAACAATGCTAAAAATAGCTTGCTTTTAATGTAAATTTAAAGATGTAATTAATGTTTCAAAAGTGTTATAATTATAAAAACAAGCATACTTAAAATACAATAAAAATTTTAGTCTGGATGAGACAGCTATCAGTACGATGAAACTTTGTTCAATTAAAGTTAATCAGTGAATTAAACATTCAATTTTTTTTTCTTTAGCTCAATTATTCAAGGTTATAAATTACATTAAATTTTCACTAAGCTTATTGTAAACAAATTTGCTATGATAAAAGATAACTGCTAAGTGATATATATATAAATATAAGTATAAATATAAATAAACATATATATCATTTGATAGCAACTAATAAAAAAATCATATTTTACCACCAATATATTCATCGCATTTTACACTTAATATATCCGAGAAAAAAAACAGAAAAACAGAAAAAGAAAACTTTACAAAAATTTTGAAAAATACTTACTACAATTTTGCATATCTCAAATTCCTTCTCAACAACAGCAGCATAAAGCAGCAGTTAATTCTAAGAGTTGTTATTTAAAAAACACATAAAGTTTTAGAATTAATAGTGTTTATGTTTAGAATATAAAAGAACGATAAGTTTTGAACAGGTTAGCAAGTAAATAAATATCAGATTGAAATGTATTTGTATTGATCTGAATTGTGGACAAATAAATCTGTTTTTTTTTTTCTTTTGTACTTCTTTTCTGACATTTACAACAGCACAACAAATTTGAAATAAGCAAATGCTAAACTGTTTGTTTTTTTTCTTCTCTTTTTTTTTTTTTTTAATTTTAGCTACAGTTCAGAAGTTCAGAAATGACAGATAACAATTACGGTTTTATTATTATTTTTTTTAATATTCTAAATTTGTATCTCGTTTAAAATTATTTGAAAAAAAAAAACACTTTTTTTGTTTTTTGCAGATCAAAAAATCACTAAATTTAGACAACCAAAAATTGTCAAGTTTGAATATGTTTCACTGTTTCCTCAATCACTTTTACTTCTTTGCTTATTCCTTACTTCTTGCCTATTTGTTTAAATCCACTTTTTTTTTTTGGATTTATATATAATTGTCAATTGAAAAAAAACAAAAAAAAAAGCTGACATCTAATCGGTGATTGTCACAAACACAGATACAGACACCAATTCAAACAGTCGACAATCAAACAAAGATTTTTGACTTTTCAAAATTGTTGCTTTTGAAAAATGCATCGAATGATTCAGTGGGATGTTTCAGTAAATTCAACAACAGTTTTTTGAAAAAGTCTCAAACACATCAAATATAGACGACACCCATAACGTATCACAGAATACAGAACAGTGATCCAATCCATTTTAATAGAACAAATACCTGTTTTTTTTTTTTGAAATTTAAGCAAGTTTTTTTTTTCGTTTTTTTTTAAAATATATTTTTGTTATTTTACTGTTTAAATTTTGAACGCTGCTTTCAAAATAATTGATAGATATATAATCAGCTACAAAATGTTTTCAGCTGTTTCTCCAATATGCACAATGCAATTGCCTTATTCTCATCTTTAAAATGCTGTTAAGCAAAGAAGTTTTCTTGAATATTGCATATATATATATATATATATATATATATATATATATAAATTTTAAGACTGTACTCTGTTGCATATCATTTTTCAGGTGATTCAAA